CATCAGGTTCCAAAGCAACGCCATTTGTATAGATGATCCAGAATCTTGGGGTCCGTTGAATCCAAGGGTGCGCAACGTTTTGGATATTTCTTCCCAGTGGCCGTTTATGAGCGACATCGGACCGTCCAGCGGGCGTTCGAGGAGCCGGTTCCGATAGTCTTGTTTGATTTCTGGGTCCACTAGCTCTTCAAGGACTGAGCCAGGTGTGCGCGTTTTACGCAAACATGACAAGCGGCAGGCGGTGATCGACCATCACCACCGATAACTGACGGCGATGTGGCCTATTTAGATTCGGGGCTGGTTCGTCAGTAGGCACCGTGTCATCAAGCGACTCCCGCTGATCCGGAAATCGGTACTACAAAGTCTGTGATCGGCACACATCTGAAGCAGGCGGCCTCCCTTGTCCGTGCATCTCGTATAAAATTTAAGACGACCACCCAATGAGGCCGCAGCAGCGCCTAATCTTACCTGGGCGTTCAAGTCAACACGAGCCACGATTTCTCAGCTTTAAGCCCACTGTGTAAGAGCACCTTGAGCACAATATATTCAGAGGTACAGTCCACTGGGGCGTAAGTATACACTACAAATATGCGATGAACCTCACCTTCTCTAGATTCTCTCAGACGTTGCCAACAAATCACGCAGAGGGGACTAGTATATGGTATCCAATCAGGTAGCACTTCCGCTTGTTCGCCACCCGGCCATATCCAGCTGCATCGGCATCGGCATCTGCATCACTATAGTTGCGCGGCCGGAAACTGAAGGACGAATGCGAATTTACTGACCGGGAAGTCCGTGATTCAAACCTGACTTCAGCCTCGTTTCACGATTTTTTTCATACCCCTCTGTCAGGTGAAGGGGTATGCCACCTCTCTGAGTTGGGTATGGAGAACAGCATTCTCTTCGGCAAGTGATGGCTAGGCACACGTAACACATGCCCCAACTAACGCACCTTCCGGTTCTGGACACACATCATCATCATCATCTGGACACACTCTTTAATGAAAGTAACCGTTGCACAACCGAAAACTCGCTTGCCTCGTTACGGATATACCGATACAAACCCACACCAGCTATAGTTCACAGAAAACGATTGTCAAACATCTGAAGACGTCTCAGTTCTGCTGCTCGAACAAGCCAAGTCTTAGCCATACAACAAAACAGCCCGCACTATAGCTTGATACACACTTCCCTTGAGATTCAGAGATACACCACTTTGACGCCATAGGTTTCTCAAATTAGCAAACGCGACCCCAGCCTTGCAGACTGGAGCATGGCGGCTAGGCACCGAAGGGTGTTAGAGCTTAACGATTTTTTTATTTAGCTGGAACGTGGAATATATGGCGAAGCAGTCAATTCAGTGACACGACTTGCGTCTCTGGCAGACAGCATACATCAATGCACAGGGGATCCGAGGTACGAGGAAGTGTCACACCTTGTGCTGCTTTCTTCAGTGTGCGAACATCAGAGGTAGCTAAGCAGACCGGCTTTCGGGGTTTGAAAAGATATGGACATGTTTGTCACTGAAGTCGGGCACAGAAGCTGTGTGATGCAAGGTGAACAAAGGGTCAGTCCTATTGCTGGGATTTGCATGGGTAAGGCGGAATAAAAGGAAGACATGAAATTTTCAGAGCGCAGGCGTCAGCAGTAACGTTTTAGCTTACCCATTCAGCTGTATGCGACCCGAGCTATGACAGCACAAAACGGCCAATGTGTCGTGAGAGTACTGTTGTAGATGACACGGTTGTACGTAGACTGGGATAATGCCAGGGCGCCCACACTTAGATAAAAGGGAGACAAAGGTCCTTGACGAAAGCCTTCGGCTCAAAAGCCTGATCACAAAGCAGCAATGTTTGGCGGGGAATTCAAGCGGATTTTTACGGAACACGTCGCCACACATTTTCCAACACCAAACTGAAGGACTAACTGTTTATCAGGCCTCTACCCAATGACCAACCTGGTGTGAGATTCCGGGTGTTGCGCGGTATACCCGAATGGGTCACGGAGGCAAAAAACCGTCTCTTCTTAATGGCCGATAGCATGGTGAGCTCTCCGAAAGCTTCCCTACCAGTAACGTCATCCAGTATCTCCATTTTTTGTTGAAATTGATTGATGATATGAAGCAAACGCTAACCGGCCTTCAAAACCTCGACAACCAGACAGTTGCCCATGCGACCTTGTCCATCTGAAGCACGCAGACATCGTCCTCAGATTTGAAGACGAAAGCCGAACAAAGGCTCCTGTGAGCAACCTGATCGCTATCATGCCATTTTTCGACACGCGCCTTGCACTTTCGAAGTGCAGGGACATGAAGCCTCCGACCATGCCCGCTGCTATGGATACCCTACTGAATTTTACAAACTTCGGTAGTTGTGTTAGCTCTGACGGAAGTGCATGAAGTCAGACCCAGATCACGTTTGCTAATTTGCATCACTTGTGGTGCCAAAGGGCATATCACTGAGTCTCGCGGACCGCGTGTACCACCTAAAATAAGTTGCAGTGCGCGGTTGCGAGACAGCCACTGAAGAGGGATAATTTGAGGCATCCCAAGGTCTTCCTCACCGATGTGTCCGAAGCGTTGCTTGTGTTGGATGGCGTCAATGTACTGGCATAATGTAAATACAAAAAGGGCATCTGGGTGTACCACATAAGCATCAGTCGCATTATCAGCTGTCTCCGGTGCAAACCGCGAGGTGGACAACGGCTGACTTCGCGGGTGATATTACGAAATGTTCGGGTGTTGTTGGTGCGACCCGCTTTCAAGGGTGGCTTCCCTGTGATCCTCCTTTGCGGGGGGACTGCAAGGAATGGCGGAAATTCGAAGTTAGTAGCGCTCATCCTGTCAGACTCTTTCCAAATTGGTTGCTCGGTGTTGGGGGCAACATGGTCCAAGTGGTTAGAGCGCGAATTTACTGGCCGGGAGGTCCGTGGTCCGAACCCAACCTCCGACTGTCGACTCCCCTTGTCCAGGCTTGGGCAGCCTGGCACTACCCAGCCCTCGTCCAACCTTTGAGAGGCATGACAGCTAGGCACCAGAAGGGCGTCACAGCTATACGATTATCTATTTGGCTAGAGTTCTCGCTGTGGTAATGCCCCGTCTGAAGGTCCTGAATTTGTGTTCCGCCACCATTGGGATAGGCACTATGTTGTTCAGATGGGGTGTGAAATGAGCATCATTGTGGGGCACTGGAGAGGACGCACAGATTAGTTTAGTGGCATTTGACGCCGTCACAAAGAGACGACCTTGCCATAGTGTGATGGTTTTAGCACAGACACAACCCACCGAGCTAGACTGAGTGGTCGTGTGACACTCCCAGAGCCCATGTCAGGTGGGTCAATAGGTATAGGCCTGACTGACACGGTCTCCTGTTCATCCAGGTTTGGGGCATGTTGTGACCTGCCTCCTAGAAATATAGGCGGTTCTGGTGGTTTTACTACTACCGCTGCCTTGTGGTTAGGCTTTTGAACCAAATGTTATAGTTGAGGATCCTTACCGTCCACATCTAGGTGTAGGGACCTGGCAGTAGCCAAGCCCACATATAACCACGAACTGCACACTTGCAAATAATCCCATACCACACCGACCATCGCGTGATGTAAAAAATATCCCCCAGCTGTAACACTTCTGGTGCCTGGCTGCCACGCCACCCGAAGGGAGCACGAGGGCTGAAATACTGTTAGGTCGCCCAAACCTAAACCCGCTGCCTTGTGGTTAGGCTTTTGAACCAAATGTTATAGTTGAGGATCCTTACCGTCCACATCTAGGTGTAGGGACCTGGCAGTAGCCAAGCCCACATATAACCACGAACTGCACACTTGCAAATAATCCCATACCACACCGACCATCGCGTGATGTAAAAAATATCACCCAGCTGTAACACTTCTGGTGCCTGGCTGCCACGCCACCCGAAGGGAGCACGAGGGCTGAAATACTGTTAGGTCGCCCAAACCTAAACAGGGGAAGTCGAGAGGCAAAGGTCGGGTTCGAACGACGGACCTTCTGGTCGCGTGTTATCAACAGCTGAGTGACCTTGCTGTTTACAGAAGGGAGTTTTCTCATGGCAGTGATGCACCAGGGTTCTTATCTAGTGTCGTCATTGTTGCCGTTTTTTTAATAAGGTTCGCTGGTTCAGCCTTCGTATGAAGTGAAAGTATCCTGTGCTGCATCTTCCTTGGTCAATTGATACGTGTAATCAGTTTATAGTTTACTGTGAATTGTATTGCGAGCAATAATTGTGAACTTTTCTTGTCTTCGGAGATAAGTAAGTTGCTTTAATTCCTCAGGATAATGCTAGCATTTCAGCTTACTTTCCTGTCGTTTACAAGCACAGTCACGTACTACCATCTACTACTTCGTCGTGTTATCGAAACCTTTCTTCGGGCAAGGTTACCGCACACTTCTTTCTCCGTAGTTATTGGCGAGCAATTCTAGACGACGAGCGTAATTTGTTGTCGGCATTTGCATGCAGTCCCGGTCCCTAGAAAGTTAGCCGCACTGTTTTGGATTCTAGTGTAAGTCTGGAGTGCCGCTAAGTTGCTCTAGTGACAGAAGCCGAGGACGACGTGATCGCTGCGACCTATCGGGGTTTCATAGTGATTTTTTTTATATCATGGGTCGCTCGCTCTTTAGGACAAAGCCGGGAAAAGTGAGTGCTGTAACGAAGTGATTCCGTCTCATGGTGGGGCGGCGGCACGGAGTTGAGCAGGCCCAACAGCTTGCTCTCGTACATGAGAAACTTCGTCGGTGGGGTGAAGAAATGTCGAATCCGACCAGGAGCATGAGATGTCAATGACCTGGTTTCGGTCCAAAGTGGAGACTATCTAATATCGCGCTTCACTTCCTCCGAAGGTGACACTGGTATGACACCATTCAATGTGCGCATGAGCATTGTGCACCTACACAAGAATCGCAAATGAGGACTAAAAACATGCGTTCCCTCCACCTCCAAAGGACCCGAGTGCAAAAAAGAGTGGAAAAAAGTAAATTTCGAAGGACATACGCTGTGTCGTCGGCTGACTTGGGACGAACGGTGACTGAGGTACATCCAAGGAAACAGTGGGAGTGTTCAAAAAGGAACCGAATCGACGGCGTTTAGAAGCGCAGGAATCCAAGAGATCGAAGTTTTGACTTCTCTTCAGGGTGGCACACGCCATCTTCACGGAAAATTCTGCACAACAAGGGGACCCACGACCAACCAAAGCGGCAACGATCGCCGGGGCTGAGCCCGGGAAAAGTATTCAAACGGGAGAGTAGTCAAACAATAAGGTCAACCTCGACCATGTTTAGTTCAGTTCATGTGAAGTGCGGAGAGCAAATCAGGCATATGCTAACGATAAAGTTTGAGAAGAGCGGACTTGTGCATGTGGTGCTATAAAATGCACGAAAAAATATCTGGGGAAATATTTAACTTGATAGACACAGTAGGTTCAAAAGCTGCGTCAGTTGCCGGATCACAACGCGGGCCATTAGAAAAATAGGAGACGAAGGAATTGCCTGGATGATGCAGGCAAATGAAATAAATAACGTGCGGCCAGTTAATCATTCTTTGGGTTTGCCTATTGGACCCGGGAGCAAAAATTTTGGCTCATGAACTGACTCCCACGGGCACGGGCTGAAGTTAATTGAACTCGGCAAGCTGAAGGGAGTTTGTGCTCCCAGGACAACCATATAACAAAAACATGTAGTGTTTCCTGGAGACCCGTAGGAATTTAGCCGGTCCTTAGTCTAGTGCTAACAGATAGTATGTTGGGCGGAAGTTGGGAGAGATTTGCTGAGGATTGAGATGGCCGATATCCCTAAATGACGGTGGTCACACCGTCTTTCGGCATCATAGGGTGAATGAATTAACATCGTCTCCCATGTAGATGAAGTGCTGTCATAATTTTGGATCCGAAGTTGTGGTCGTTCGGCTAAGATCAAACGACAGGCGTCAGACGAACCCGGGCCAGGACGGTCATTGCGAAGGGAAGTGAGCGTAAACTAATGTTGATATAGCTTTTGCTTTCGTCATAACAATTCATTTTGCCAAATGCATACAAGTTCTAGCTTGAAAACGAAAAACTACAGAAATAGGCATCTGACCAATTTCACGCAATACGAACGTGGTCACGTGCTTCAACCTTCTCTTTTGATTTCACTCACGCTCACAACGGTCATTCGTGAGTATCCTGCGCTAACTCTGGTATCTCAACATTCCAGACTATCTCCGAAATTTACTGTGTGAGGAGTGTTCAAAAAAAGACACCTGGACAACCATGATTGGGTTATTATTTATTCGCCAAGATAGGCCAGCAACGAACGATTTTGAAGAGAACAATTCTTAGTGAGTCTGTTCAATCTGACCATTAACTCAATCTAAAGTTATTATTTTCACTTCTTTGCCCCACCGTGGTAAAGTGGCTTCTGCGTAGCCAGACCACTCCAAACTTCGCAGGTTAAAAATTTTCGTGCAGCTCTAATGGAGTGGAGATTCTCGGAATGGTGCTTGGTGACGTTCAGGCAGGGCTAAGAAAGGGTTCCAATTTTGTCATTTATATGGCCTTAGCTGTAAGGGGTCCGATCTTGTACGGAGAATGAAGGTGAAGTCCACTACCATGCCGGTATCCCAGAGGAGTGAGGTCGTGCTTGTACAGTTGGCAAAACATCAAAATAGCTTCGTGCGCTGAATACGAAGCAGCCAACGTACTGCCGCAGAGCGCTCATTAAGTGTGAAAGTATCGAAGTCACCTATCAAAACAAATGCGAGTGTTTGGCCAAAGAGAGACGAATAAGCATACTATATAGAAATGCGCACCTCAAGCGACGTGGAGGGGTTCTCTTACCGGTTATGTGATTGCGTCGCAGTTCGGAATATAGTTGCAGTGAATCGTTCGGCAAGCAATGCGGGATCAAGATCGATGCTATGAGATTGTAAATTTCAAGGAAAGTACGCACGATCTACTACACGCCCTCAGAAGTCAGTGTGGAATGTAACTGACACAACAAGGTATGGTTTCTAAGGCGCAAACATGTGTAAGTGGACCGTTTGCAGTAACCATAATATATTAGAAGATGTCAATTCAAAGGAGTTTCCCTTGTCAGCCAATTTTTGCAAAAGGTACCGTAATTACCATGTGTTCACCTGGGGGCTAGTTCCTCTTTCAACTTAATTAATTTACAGAGGAAGTCGATAATGAAAAAATCGGTCAATGCACTAGTTTTATTTTGAACCGTTGTATTCTAGTGGATGGGTGTTTACCCTGGTGGGCAAGCCCAGTGTGCCAGAGAAAGACACAGGGCAGAACGCTGGTCAAATGACAATGGGATGGGATTACGGTCTGCAAGAAGCCCTGTGATATCTCAGGGCTGAGGGGCTGAGTAATTCGCACATCGAGAGTAGATGATTAGGTGGTAGATTTGCTCTTGTTGCGAAGTTGACAGGTAGCGTGCTGGTTTTTCATTCTGGTTAAGTCCGATCACGGTGGTTTGGGTAACACATCGAACTCAACACCCTAAAGCGACTGGAGACGATCAAGAATTGATCATAGTGGCGGTATTCTGCCACTAATACCGGTAGCGAAGGAAGTGCCTCGTTGGCATGCGGTAGAGTTAGGGGAATTGTGAGGATTTTTGTCTGCGTATGCATTCCACTGGTTGATCGTCTGTCCGGCAAGAACTTTGTTGTACACCTATATTAAGGAAACCTTAGGTTAATCTACGCACACCACTAAAAGCAGCTTGAAGAGCAAATATCTTCGTTCTTCAGGGACCCAAAACTTTTTACCGGTCTATGGTCCTTGATACACCAACAAGTCTGAAAAATTTCCCAAAGCCGGATGCTTTTTGTTGGCCTCAATCGGTGATTCAATATGTCGGGCGTCTCCTTCTATTTCATGGGGCATACTTCATAGGATCTTCTATGTCTCGGGTGTAGTCTAAATTTTGTAAGAAAACTGTCCAAGGCAAAACGACCCATTCTGGTTCAGGCATCGATGTAGTGCTACTAGGGCGGTATCAGTTGCGACATTCTGCTCATTTGCATGCACCGGCAACATGCTTACTACCTTGAATGCTGTTGGCATTGCATTTGGGGGCATATGCTTTAGCTCCTTACCTCGTTTTCCATTTTGTGTACTGGGAAGACGGTAGATGTTTTAAACTGTCTATACATAATATGCTATATATTATTTTATACATGTCGCATTATTTTTTATAGTTATATGGTTGTTGTATTATATATACTATATTTTTTCCAGCATCCCACTCTGCAGCTCAATGAGAGGCAATCATTAGACTTTGGCCGAAGGTCGGTGTATGGAGGGGCGGTTCTTATTTTAGATAGCGAAATTATTTGTGGTAAAGCCAATTAATCCATCAAACACCTGCATTACCCCTATTACCATGAGCACTTCGTAATCAGGTTACCTTACCATTTGTTCGAAGCCGTAGATTTTCAGCGGCAGTAATTAGACGTACTTATGCACAGCATACTTTTCTGGGACTGGTTTTGCTAAGAATTTCTCTTTTCGTCCTTTGGGTGCGGTCAAGGTGTACAATTTTATTAAATCGCAACTCATTGCACTGCGGTGCTTCGTATTTATCACCGATACTTGTTCAAGGGGATTCTTTAGCACATTTTGCTATCTATTTGCTGATGTTTTCGCGTGCTTACTAAAGAACCTTAGCTAACGGTTTTTATTTCGACATTGGTAAAATGGATGGTTTTTTGCAGGGTATCCCCAGAGGCGTCTCATCCCATCCGCTCATTGTCACAAGCTAGTAACTTCGGCATTACCCGGTTTTGATGACCTGGTTGGCTGTTATCCACTCTACAACAATAGGATCCCGAAAGGCACCTAAAATTGCGATCACATATCGGCTTTGTTCCACCTCATTTTCTCAGCTAGACTGAAAAAAATCCCGCTGTTCAGAGTCGCATATCCCAGCTCAATGACCATCAGTGTGAGATCCATTACGGGACTGTCCGAAAAATGAAGTATGTCGGCCAATGATGGAACGGCACTGCCATACCCGTGTCCTCTAGCCCACCCGTTCCATTAACTGCAAGTACGAACAAGCTACCAACATGAAGCTGCCTCATTTTGATGACCTGGTTGGCTGTTATCCACTCTACAACAATAGGATCCCGAAAGGCACCTAAAATTGCGATCACATATCGGCTTTGTTCCACCTCATTTTCTCAGCTAGACTGAAAAAAATCCCGCTGTTCAGAGTCGCATATCCCAGCTCAATGACCATCAGTGTGAGATCCATTACGGGACTGTCCGAAAAATGAAGTATGTCGGCCAATGATGGAACGGCACTGCCATACCCGTGTCCTCTAGCCCACCCGTTCCATTAACTGCAAGTACGAACAAGCTACCAACATGACTCCAGCTGCCTCAATGATAGATTCATTCCGATTTGCTGAACCTTTCGTTCGAACTGAACAGTTTCCATGTCTGTGCTTCCCACAAAATTCAACAACTTCCTATACGCTTCGTGTTTCGGCTTGTATGCTGCCATCATCTCAATCTTCGAAGAAACTATTATGCCCGACCCAACAACAGCGACATTACTGAGTCTATACGGTTTCGCGTACACCGTGTGCTTCCCACAAAATTCAACAACTTCCTATACGCTTCGTGTTTCGGCTTGTATGCTGCCATCATCTCAATCTTCGAAGAAACTATTATGCCCGACCCAACAACAGCGACATTACTGAGTCTATACGGTTTCGCTGTACACCGTGTTTCTGTGACTCCCGGTACAGCTTATCCGCTTTGCTGATCTCTCCACTTCATCATCTCGACCTGTGCATTTCATGACCCCGTCCATAAGCCCAACACTCGAAGGCCACGAGGCCTAAGCGGAGGTTTTGGGTTTTAGTTCAACATGACCGTCCGGTTCTTCATTTCTCACCGGTGTGGGTCGAAGTTGAGTTTGGATGCACTCCATTGGAGGAAGAGCAGTGGTTTATGAAATTTTGCTTTCTTCAACGTAAACAGGAACAGTCTTTCGATGCACAAGAAAGCCTTGGTATTGGGTTATCCAGCCTTGAATCCTTAATTCAAGGTTTTGGTTTTGACCTCTAGACTCGCAGTGTTACAAAAGGATTCAAAATTATGACTTAAAGTGGGCCCGAATTATTAATTTTTGTTGGTTTTATACGCAAACGCTACTAGCTGCCCCTTTATTTTCTACAAAAATGTCAAAACACGCCTAATTATCCTCAGATACAACCCTGAAATAATTTCCCCTAATACTTTAGGCTTTTATACGGGCTGTCTGCTTTTATTTCACTGCCCTTTCGCAGTTGGTTCAAAAACGGTAGAACGAGCGATCATTGGTCTTATTACACCAGACCTTGGCCTCTACTCGACCATACACGTATTGAATCGAGTGGAAAGATTACCGAGTAATATTTGTTTCAAAAGGAATTTACTTCTTTGTTTCAAAATCCATGTTTACCCATAGTAAATTTTCTTCTTTCGCCCAAGCGCTAAACAGATCCAGAAAATTAGTTTCCATTGAGTCAGAAGATTCGAACACCAGCCGAACCAATTGAGATTGCTAGTGACACAAATTATCAACCGTTTACTCAATGCTACCGTCCAGATGTGGTTTCCCTCAAGTGACTCAAAGATTACGGAAGTCCGGTCTGATTTATATATCTCATGGCTGTGCCACGTAGGTAGGCGATAGCACAAAACAAGAAGTTTACTCAGTTTGTTTCCTCGGAAGCTGCTCCGTTGTATAAGTCGTTGCCTTTTTGAAACCACCCACTTTTTTCGCATAGCGTGCACCAGTACGGTTCACCCGTTTGACAAGTTTTCCTCTGTTTATCTGTCCTTCGTCATCCTCTTTCAGCCTATTCTCAGTTCCTTTCAGGCCCCTGCACAAAAGCGTCCGTAAGAAAACGCCGGCCACACGACTGACTCAGATAATCGGTTGCAAACATCATTTGACTGCACAGTTTTCCGCCAACAACGGGGCAAGTTCACCCGCTTAAGACAAAGCCGACAAAAATAACACCTGAGCCACTGAAATGGTCGGGCAAAAAATTTTGGCCCCTTAAAGTAGGTAAAACCCGGGACGACTTTCATGCTATTTTCCTAAAAGCCTCAAGCTTACATGGTGATGCAAAATCACGGTCTGCGAACGACGACATACTAAACCTGCTCTACGATCCTGCGCTAAAGTCGTGATCTCAAAGGAGTGAATTGGTTAATTAACCCAAAAGCATGGTTTAGGTGTACTATCTGATGGGTAACGTGGAGTCTCACTCAAGACGGCCGGTCAGTAACACTAGCGGAGAAACAGAATTCTACGAACTTTGCCCGCGTTTGTTCAGTAGTCGCAAGCGGGCAGCAAACAATATATTGAATTGGACGTGGACAGACAGTATAGATAAGCGAACAGTGGCACTCCTGCGACTATTTTCTCCAGAATCTCTACCGCAACCCCTCCTCCACTCAAGCATGTAGCTACACATTCGAGCAGTTCTCATCTGGCCTCGTCTCTAAGATGAGCTCTTCCGTACCCAATAAATTTTCGCTCAGATTTGGCTAGCCTGGATTTCTGCTGCAATTTCGGCTTGGCTGTTGCACAAGTTCAAAACCGTATACGGAGTTCAGGTCGCCCTATGTATCAGCAACTTGCCCCCATCCAACCCATCCCCCTGCACCTGACTTCCCTACAACAGTGCAGCAATGAGCCTGCTTACTTTCAGATTAAACCATATTTTTGAGACAGGCCATGTGCTTTTGAATTATCCCATCCCCATATCCACTTTTGCTCGTTGTGACTCCGGCCATTTACCTAACCACCCAAGGTCACTCATGACCAGCAATGGTTTTCAGTTTGGCTCATGACACCGGACTGTCTTTGATCTAGTCGGACCTCTTGCCCATTTTTCCCAACAAGTTGCGAAATAACCTATTATTACTATATCATCGGGTATTCCCCACTGTTTATGATATTGTCCTCTTTTTGTGCAACCCGCACCCCCACAAATCCTCCAGTCATGGTCCATTCTGACTGTAAAACTATGATCATGCCGGACGGTATGCCACCAACAAGTTGGGAATAAACCTTATTATTATATAATAACTTAACAGCAAATAATGAACAGACTTTAGATGAATCACACGGCTAGAGTGAACCTTGGGCAGTTGGCAACACAGGATGGCATAGAAAGGGCAGCTAGCTATCGGGAAAATAAATGGGAAAGTTGTGTGGCTTAAAGTGGGGCAAAATGTTCAACAACAGACCTAGAAATGAATGTGAATGAATCGAGTCATAAAAACAGTCAATATAAAATCGATTTTGTATAGAAGAGAATAGTTCATTATTGAAACTTGAGCATTTAACGGAATAATAATGCGTTAGTTTGAAAAACAAGGAAACACAACCAATTGTGCCACATAACTAACACCTAATGGTATATTCGTAAATCGTCAACCTGCCTCTTTTTACTTGTATTGGCCACCTGAATTCGTGGACATCCCATAGGAAATAGCTGGAGGGTCTGGCTGTTCGTGAATTTTTCGAACTTTGCTTGCTTGCTGAGCACCGATTTTGCATTCGACTACTGAAACAAACGGCAGCATTCAGGTCCACAACACCGCTTAAATTGCTCAAAATGAATTTACCATACCCCTGTATCCCCGCATTCCAAGAGAGTGACATCAAAATTCACCCTCCCCAATGTTGCATTAGACCGAAGGATCACGACCACCACTCCCCAACCATGTAAATTAAATATTTCACGTCCAATGCCATCTGTTACGAATCCACAGAATCACTCAATCTGTTACCCACAAAAAACCTGCCCTATGGCGTACCCATTTTACAGTCAATGATTTGTCAATAACCATCCGGTCCGCAACAAGGTGAATTGTTCCCGCTCATTTTGCTAAACCCCGCTCTTCTCACAAAATGTCGCATTTGCGACACATCCAGAAATGACCCTACGGGAACCATCGGCTCAGCCAGTTAAATGCTGTCCTGCCCCACGCGTAATCACCCGTGGCTCTACTCGTATTCATTCTGATTAGGCTCGTACTTCCGTATAAACCGACCGCACATCCCTCGACTCTTCAACACAGCCTCCTACCATTCACTACTTACTACTAAAGATCCACTGCGCCTGTTTTGTTAGAGTGATTTCCCCGAAGAATTACTCCCAGATGATCAAACGGCTAGCAATCATGCGCCTGCCTACCAAAGATGCCGTTTTCATTGCCACCCCGGAGACCTGGACGGCAGTCAGCGGACTCGTACTGGTTAGCGCAAGGCACAAGTTCAGCGAAGAAATTTTATTATCGACTTTCGCCCAAATCTGTGTTCCTCGCGTTTGGTCCTCCAGAGCTTTAGAAAGAAGTGCCGGTTTTGCGTCGATTATCCCTGCTAAAGCGGAATATTCGCACTGGCCTTTCCTATTTGGCAGTAGGGACACGGTTTTTCTTTTGATGGCTCTCTTTTTAACTATGAAATGCATTGCATCCTTAAAGTAGAGGCAGATGGCGCAGACAAACGGGTCGTTAGAGTTAGATTGTTGGCTTATCTAGTCGGCCCATGAACCCATAATTTAAGTGCCACCAGGTCACGCAGGTGTGGCAATACATGGCACGTATTATACTCCATGGACACTCAATTCATCCACATTTGTTGCGGTTCATCAATGGCTGTAGACAGCAGCCTGCACTGATTTGGGGCATGATTGAGGCCAACGGAACAGGGACGAAACCCGCGGCGGTTATCAAGCAAAGGTTATTAAGGGTGGAAAATGTAACAAATGACGTGTACTTCCTTCACCCCAGTCAAATGCCTCCCTCATTTGAGCCTGCTGTTTACCGCGTTTACCTCGCAAACCTGATTTGTATTTGTAATTCCTCATGAAATGTTACCCCTTGACATGTCGAACCAATTTGGTCAGCCACCTCCTACGGGCGCTTCTTAACCATTTTGCGCTACAGCATGTCGTGTGCAGGCATGTGTCGCTAACTAAAGTCAATTTGTCGGCCACTCCGGGCCCTCTTAGGACTCGCACCACTTTGTGCAATAATTTGGACGGAAATCTCCATAGTTTGCGGCTTG